ACGACGCCAGACGCAGGAAGAAGTGCAAGACGCTTGTGCCCGGTAGGTCTAACCACATGTTCCTCCCTTGGCGTGTCGATCCTGAGGGAAACACGACTCCTTTGGGTAAGCGTTTATACGTTGCTTGATTCGTCGGCAGGACGCATGTTGATCAACTACTTGAGTGAGAATGCGAATTGCTCTCTTTATTTGGAAGGCTGTCTGCACGATTCTTTCTGGGAGGGTGTTCGATCTTGTTGCTTGGCTTGATCCCGTTCGGTTTCCATCTCACTTTAGCATGTGCGGCGAGCAAGTTGTTGAATGCCTGCTGGCCTGACTATACATATACATGCCGACCCCTCTGGGGAAGGACTTGCGTGTTGATTGTGCGGAGTGATTTCTGAAGTAATCTATGCGGGCGCATCCTGTGGGTAGGCTGACGTGTCAACTCTCAATGTGGGCGGGCTTGCTGCTTGTTCCCTTATTTTTGACGGAGCCCTGCACCTGCCCTTCGCCGCGCTCCACGACACAGGAGGCACGGTGGGGCGCCAGGAGGCCAGCACACTCGCACCTACACTGTACAAATCCGCCGCCGCCGCTGCCGTCGGTGTCATCGTCGCCGCCGCCGCGGTCGGTGCCGTCGTCGTCGTCGTCGTCGTCGTCGTCGCCGTCGCCGTCGTCGTCGTCGTTCAGGGTCGGCGGCACCGGCCGTACGGTTTCTCCACTGGAAGTGAATGCAGTTGAACACATGCGCCGTCGGCCTTTCTCGACGTCGTCCGCGTTCGGACGATCTGGGCCGAACGGCAGGGCCACGCCAGCGCGCGCAGCAGGGCGGGGCCACACGGGCGCACGCGCCTGCTTCTGGTGGCCCGAGGGGCGGGGCAACACCGGCAGCAGCTGCAGCCTCTGGCGCGCGCATACTCACAGCCTGGATTGGCTCGCCCACGAACTGGTGGGTCACTGGGCGCCACCCCTCCCTAATGTGGTTGAGCCTCACCCTCGCGATGTTGTCAATGGGCTTCTCTTGGCAAGCTTGGGCCAACAGCATAGCATGGCCGGACAGCCCGCACTCCTTGCCCCACAAGCGCGACAGAAGATCACCGTGCTAGCCGCTATCAGCATGTGGCTCTGGTGGGCTGCTTGGACCAGCTCGCCCTCGGCCGTGGACCTTCCACCAACACCTGCCGCACCCGTAACTCAACTTCGCCCCGTTGCCCAGCCAATGCGGTCTGTGTCTCAGTGTGGTTTCGCGGTGTTCCTCGGGGCTGGTGTCGTGTGACACGAACAGCTGTGGCGTGAACTCGATCTGTGTGCGAGCTTGCACTCGCCTTCCCCATCCGCTGTTGTCAGGCACGCTGCGCCCATCTCATTCGCTGCTGGCCGATCGTTTTGCCGCCGCCGTCGCTACGGCCATTCTCGCATTCTTGCTTGGCTGCGCGCTCGCACTCACCTCGCCTGAGACGCACTCCTGTTCTTTCCGTCCTACCCCCTGCGCCTCCTTGCAGACGGCCGGCATTTTTGCGAGCTGGCTGATCGGTTCTTCGTACCCGTTCTCGCTCGCCTCGTCCTCCTCGTCGCGCGTGTTTTTCATGGGCCTGTTCGATGATGCTGGACCTGGCTTGCAGCTGATGGCCGCAGTCGCAACACCCGCCATTGCCGCCACGAGTGCGGCTCCGCGTGGCCCTGCTTGCGAGCCCCCACTGGACTCGCGTCTTCCCTGCCCGCGCGGTCGGGCCACATCTGGCGCCCGATGGCCTGATAGCTCTCGAACCTGCTGCCTTTGATCGCGTATCTGCTGCCTGTGGAAGCCGATGTGGGCCTGCCTCACCTGCTCCACCGCGTCGCGGAGCAACCTGACGAAGTGCCTCCTCCTCGGTGCTGCCGGGCTCCCTTGCCGCCTGCAGCACTCCTCCAGGGAGTCGTCGAGGCGCACTCTCGCTGTGGCGCCGCGAAGTGCCCCCCATGAGGCTGCCGTGCTGCGCTGGCAGAACTTCGCGCAGGCATGCCACACACACACACACACACGGACACAGACACAGACACAGACACAGACGCAGACACAGACACTGACACAGACACAGACACACACACACACACACACACACACACGCACGCACGCACGCACGCACGCACGCACGCACGCACGCACGCACACACACCCACACACACACACACACACACACACACACACACGCACACGCACACGCACACACACACACACACACACACACACACACACACACATCGTTCAGCCCAGTTCTCCTCGTCCGCGAACCCCTCGCCGCACATGTCGCCAAACCACATGCTCGCCCGCGTCTGCACGCGTCGTCAAAGTATGTACGCGTGGTCTTTCTGGGTAGGCGCCTTCCCCGAAGCACTCCCGGTAGCCCGTTCTGACATCGGCCCCAGATCTCGCCTTGAGCGCCTTCATTCTTGGTCTGCTTGCCGCTCGGTGGCCTTCGAGCACTCCAAGCCTATTCGCTTTCACTGTCATCGGCCTGCCCGTGCTGTCCCTTGGCTCGCGGTTGGCCAACACGCTCACGTGGCCAATACATCTTGCCATCCTCTTGGCCGCCTCGACCTGCTGCAAATGCCTCGCCACCTCGTGCGGCCAGCTCGTTGGGTGGCACAGGGCGCCGGGATGTACCTCCTCGTTCGCCGCCTGGCTGCCTGGGGCCAGCCTCCCCTCGATCGCGCCGTGCTCCGTCCTGGTGATGGCTGGATGCGCCTTAACCTTTGCGAGCTTGACGCTGTATAGCTGGGGCGTTGACCTAAGGAACCCTAAATAAGGACCGAGGCCCCCTTTTCTCCATAAGTTAAACTTCGATTTCCCATGGAGAACCTCAGGAAAACCTTAGGCAAACTGTGAAACCACGAAGGAACACGGAGTTCCTCCCAAACGAAAAGGGCTCCTTGTTCAGCGCCCCGACTGTAGCGTTGGCGGCTGGGCGGCAGTACTTCGGCCCAGCAGCAATGCCGTCCAGCAGGGTCTGGCAGTCGGAGTCTATCGTCAACGGCGGCACGATGTCGTGGAGCAAAGCCTCGGCTGCAAAGAGCTCGCCTTCGCCAGCCTCCCGCAGCCACCCTGGGGGCGGGCCGTTGCACGCTCCGTTACTCGTCCTAGATGATCGGCTGCCGCGCATCCGAACACTACCCTCATCTCGTCCATCTCGGTGAGGTTCTGGCCCGAGCACTCGACGAAGCCGTCCTCTGCGAAGACTCGTCCTTGAACTTCTGTGCTCTTTCCTACTTGCCACGCCTTTTTGGATTTCGGCCCGTGGCGCTAGTTGGACAACAGCCCCCTTCCCCAGAACACTTCCTAGATCATGTTCGAGACGCCCTCGGGGGAACTGACCTGCCCTATCTCGCTCTCTCGCCTCTGGCAACACCACGCTGCGCATTTATCATTCCGATGCTGTAGTGTTCCTCTTTTCTCGCCGCACTGCTGGCACTTGTCAGTCTCAGCCATGCCGCCTTGGTGGAGCCTGTCCTGGGTCCACTGGGCGCCGATGATGATGGACCTCAAGCCGTTCGCCTGACGTTCTATCCCTCGTCGATGTAGGCTGTCAATGATGTTCCTGAGCGGCTCGATGTGGATCCCTTGCTCCAGGTGAGCGAGCCCGTCGTGTGCTGCCACCTGCCTGAACTGCTGCTTGACCACGGCCTCCTGGATGAGGTGCTTCAGGGATGTGGGGCTGACCCCGTCGTACAAGTCCAGATGCGTGCCGTCATGTGTGACGCATTTCGTCGCCGATATCGCATCCCATTTCAACCTCTGGTCCAACTACTGACACCCATGGGTGCAATCTGGTTTCCTGAACGCTTGTGGCTTTGTCCAGCGCGCCTTGCAGCACCTTGATCGGTATTATTCCCAGTCATACTGCTTTGGCCCACGCGGTGAAAAGCATGATGTTGACCACAATCGCTGGATCGGAATCCTCGCCGTGTCCGTGATCATGCTTGCCACAGCCGCTGCACGCATCGTCTGTAGCTGCGAGTCGCTTCTGCCCAGCACGCTGGCCCCGCAAGCCATGACGGGCTGTAAGCCCATCATGCCCACCTTGGAGAAGAAGGAGAAAGAGGAGGAGGAGGAGGAGGAAGGAGGACTAGGAGGAGGAATAGGAGGAGAAGGAGGAGGAGGAGGAGAAGGAGGAGGAGGAGGACACTGAGGAGGAGGAGCAGGAGCAGAGGAAAGAGGAGGAAGAGGAGGAAGAAGAGGAAGTCCTTGGTGTCAGTGGGAGGAGGAGGAGGAGGAGGAGGAGGAGGAGGAGAAGGAGGAGGAGGAGGAGAGGGAGGAGGAGGAGGAGGAGGAGGAGGAGGAGGAGGAGCAGCAGGAGGAGGAGCAGGAGGAGGGAGGGGGGAGGAGGAAGGAGGAGGAGGACCTCTCCAGCTTGCAAGGAAGGGGGAAATGCGTCGCCTGATGCTGCGGCACCATCCGCTCCCGCACCTCGCGCTCCTCGAGGGGCCCCGCTCGGCGGGCCATCACGCCAGGGGGGCCACTCCGATCCCAAGGAGAAGAAGAGGAAGAAACAGGAGGGACACGGAGAGGTACTGCGGGTTCGTGTCATGTCGACCCCGTCGTTGGTTCCTGACAACGCGGGGATCGTTCAACCTTGAACGATCGGCCGCTTCCGACACGTCAGATCGTTCAACATCGATAGATTCTGGGTCGGCGTTCAACGTTGAACGATGTCGGCGGGGTCGCCGCCGGTCGACACACACACACACACACACACACACGACGCGAATCTACCTGAAGGAAGAGGAGGGAGGCGGAGAAGGGAGGAGAAGGAGGCGGCGCAGCAGCAGGACGGCGACGACGACCACGACATCGGCTGCCACGACCACGACCAGGACGAAGATCACGACGATGGCGACGACCATCACCACCGCCACCACGACCACGACAAGGGGCGCTCCTTCATGCGCGGGCGGTCCTCGGGCCTGGCCCAGTGGTGCTCCTTGCAGCGGGGCGTGGGCGACAGGCCCGACGAGGAGGGACGAGGAGGGACGAGGACGAAGAAGGATAGAGGGTAGCTACGAGGAAGGACGAGGAGGGACGAGGAGAGACACTACGACTGGACGGAGGGCTGCAAACTAACCGGGGGCCTACTACCGCAAAGCGAATAGTATTTTTTGCAGAGGATGGCGGGGGGATACTGGCTCGGCTGGGATGGTACGAATTCATACTTAGGATGGACGATTGGGAAGAATCGTATGCAAATTGCAATACGGAAAGGAGTACGGATAATTCCGGGGAGCAGAGTCTATTCTGTTTTTAGAAAGGAGGATCAACGTGGTGCAATCATTGATGTACCATACATGGTGTGTGCTATCTATGTGGTGCAATATATTTGTTGCAGTCTCGGTGATGCAATGTATGTGTTGAATATTTGTGGGAGGAGCAAATGTACTCATCTATGTGGTGTGAGCTATGTGGTGTAAGCTATGCTGTGCAATTGGTTGCAATCGATGAGATTATATCGCTTGGACTGCAATCGATTGGATTGCAGTCGTGCAAGCTACGTGGTGCAATCTATGGTATGGCATCTATGATTCGCAATCGATTGCAATCGATTGGATTGCAGTCGATTGCGTTGCAAGCGATTGAATTGCAACCGATTGAACTGCAATGCGCGCAACAAGGCCCAGGCGACGGGCGGCGACGACGCGGCGACGGGGCGGCGGCGGCGACGACATAGCCGCCAGACCAAATTTTAGGCCCGCGACGGGCGGCGACGAAGCGGCGACGGGGCGGCGACGGCGACGACCCAGATCAAGTTTCAGGCCCAGCTCCTCAAAAAAGAAAAACCCCTGAGTGCAAGCACTGCCTGGGGAACAACGGAGAATCGGGTTCGTGCCGCGGTGGCCCCGCGTGCAAACGAGGAGAGGAAGGAGAAAAAACGCTGCGCTGGGCCGTTCCCCGCCGCCGCTGCGGCGGCCAAGGCCGGCAGCCCTCGGTTGAGCCCGACGACGAGGCCGAGCAAGAGCGGGACGCCGTCGCCAACGGCGATGTGGGAGAGGACGGCCGTGCTCGGGCACAGCATTATCGTCTAGTCGGGCCTGTCCCCCTACAGGCGGATTCTGGGCGGAAAATAAGAAATTGTTTCAACAGATCCCCCAAATGGTAACAGAAACTCGTCCCCCGACGATTGTACTACTTTTGCATATTCCCCCTGCGGAGGGACAGGCCCGACTGGGCAGGATCGCCCTCCCCCACCCCTCCAGAAGATGCGCGCGCGCGCGCGCGCCGGCGGCAACCTCGTGCTCGCCACCGCCGAAGGGGGGCTCGGCGCAGGCGGCCGCACGGCGAGGACGCCGCCCCGCGCGCCGAGCTGCGCACGCGCTCGGGGTGCCCGCGCGGTGGCCGAGCGGCAGCTGCCGGGGGTGCGGGGCGGGGCGCCGTCGGGCAGCCGCGGGGGCAGGCGGAGAGGCAGGCAGCAGCGGCAGCTGCCGGCGGTGCGCGCAGAGACTACTCCAGATTTCGTAGTAAAGGGAGGGGGGTCTCATTTCGGGGGGGGTCTCTTCCAGGCTATCTTGGGGGGCCTGGCGGGTCTGGGGACGATGTTCTGGAGGGTTCTCCCACGGGGGAGGTCTGAAATGGTTTGTTTTCGAGGGTCCAGACCCCCTCCCTTTTATTACGAAATCTGGAATACCAAAGAGCCCCTGGGGCGGCCGCGAGGGGGAGGCGCGGCGGCATAGCCCTGGCCCGCCCCCTTGCCCGCTCCAGGCGCAACGCGCCCGCCGAGCCCCGTCTACCCCCGTGCTCTCCGCAGACAGCCGCCGCAGCGATCTGGCCTGGGCGCGGGAGCTGGTGCCCTGTTCGGCTGGCGGCAGAATCCCATCGGGGCAAGCAGATGTCACGGCAGAAAGTAACGCAGCGTCGGCTGCGCTGTGCTCAAAACCTGGCATCGGCCGTGGCGGACATGATCTCAAAAGAGCTTATTCGAGACGGTCTGCACATGTGCAGCCCTGGGAGGAAAGTCGGCGCTGGGAGACAGCTGGGGGGAGGCGTTGAGAAGCGTCAGCAGTAAAAGTAGGACAAAGGCATGCGCACGGGCATAGCCAAGGGTACAAGTACAGGTGAAGGCCCCGGCGAAGTTGACGGTGGGGAGAAAGAACTCGTGCAGACGTCGCACCCCGCAATTGCGGATAAGAGTAAGGGGGCGGGCGCGGGCGACGCGGGGGTCGAGCCGGCGGACCTCGTGGCCCTCACCTTCCCTGTCGATGGCGCCCTCCTCCTCATCCTCCTCCTCCTCCTCCTGCTCCTCCTCCTTCTCCTTTTCCTCCTCCTCCTCCTCCTCCTCCTCCTCCTCGTCCGCGTCCTCGTCCTCATCGTCGCCGTCGTCCGCCTCCTCCTCCTCCACCTCCTCCTCCTCATCTTCCTCCTTTTCCTCTTTTTCCTCCTCATCCTCCTCCTCCTCCGCCTCCTCCTCCTTCTCCAGCAAACCAATGCGAGCAAGCCCGCCGCAGGCGCCGATTTGCGTGCTCTGACAAGTTCAGCGCGGGGGGGGTCACTGGTGGGCCACCCAGAACGAATGCAAAAACAGCCCGCAGCAGGCGCCGAATTTTGGCTTGTTCAGTGAACGTAGTTTGGGTCGCGAGTGGGTCGCGGGCTCTCCACCTCCACCTGGAAGGAATTCAAAAAGCAGGCGCCGAAATTTTGACTTGTACACTGAACGCGGTTTGGGTCGCAGGTTCTCCACCTCGAACGAATGCAAAAGAAACCCGCCGCAGGCGACGAAGTTTTGGCTTGTTCAGTGAACGTAGTCTGGGTCGCGGGTGGGTCGCAGACTCTCCACCTCCACCTGGAAGGAATTGAAAAACAGCCCGCCGCAGGCGCCGAACATTTTGATTTGTTACCTAACAGCGTAGGTTGATAGGTTTCTAATAGGATCAAAAGAGGGCAGCAGCTTACTCCACAGGGGGTCTGGGCGGATGTCGGCGAACTGCCGGGCGGACGCCGGGCGGACGAACCGGGCTCGTTTTTTCGCCAACAGTCACACACTTCGTGCTCTTCGACCTCCCAGAACTCCATTCCCGGGCCACATTTTGAATAACCGGATGCAACAGTCAAACACTTCGTGCTCTTCGAGTTCCCAGAACACCATTCCCGGGCCACATTTTGAATGCCCGGAGCCAACTGTAGGCCACTTCGTGCTCTTCGACTTCCCAGAACGCCACTCCCGGGCCACATTCTGAATGCCCAGAGCCAACTGTAGGCCACTTCGTGCTCTTCGATTTCCCAGAACACCATTCCCGGGCCACATTCTGAATGCCCGGAGCCAACTGTAGGCCACTTCGTGCTCTTCGACTGCCCCGAACGCCATCGCCGAATGCCAGTCCTGCCACTCCTGGCGCACATTTTGGATGCCCGGAGCCAACTGCACCCCACTTCCTGCTCTTCCACCTCCCAGAATTCCACTCCCGGGACGCATTGTGGAGAACACGCCATTGTAGTCGTAGTAGTACTCGTACGCCTCTCCTCCTCCTTCTACTCGCTCCTCCTTTTTCTTCCCTCATCGACGTCAGAACCCTTGCCTCCTATGACGTCCTCCGCTGGCCTGGGTGGTCTACTCAGGTCGCGGAGGGGGATAGGACGGGGGTCGTCGCCATGGCTGGTTCCCTCGAATTGACGACGGGGAGGGGGGGGGTGCACCGTTCCCTCGGATGGGCACATCCCCCCCTCCAAGGGTCTCCGAGCCCTCCCTCTCCGTCCTTTCCCTTCTCCCTTCTACTCGTAGAGTAGTAGTAGTAGTAGTAGTAGTAGTAGTAGTAGTAGTAGTAGTAGTAGTAGTACTAGTAGTAGTAGTAGTAGTAGTAGTAGTAGTAGTAGTAGTAGTAGTAGTAGTAGTAGTAGTAGTAGTAGTAGTAGTAGTAGTAGTAGTAGTAGTAGTAGTAGTAGTAGTAGTAGTAGTAGTAGTAGTAGTAGTAGTAGTAGTTAGTAGTAGTAGTATTAGTATAGTAGTAGTAGTAGTAGTAGTAGTATAGTAGTAGTAGTAGTAGTAGTAGTAGTAGTAGTAGTAGTAGTAGTAGTAGTAGTAGTACTACTACTATTGTACTACGAGTACTACTACTACTACTACGACTACTACGACTCGTAGTAGTAGTAGTAGTAGTAGTAGTAGTAGTAGTAGTAGTAGTAGTAGTAGTAGTAGTAGTAGTAGTAGTAGTGGTAGTAGTAGTGGTAGTAGTAGTAGTAGTCACGTCTCTCCTCCTTTTTCTTCTCTCATCGACGTCAGAACCCTTGCCTCCTATGACGTCCTCCGCTGGCCTGGGTGGTCTACTCAGGTCGCGGAGGGGGATAGGAGGGGGGTCGTTGCCATGGCTGGTTCCCTCGAATTGACGACGGGGAGGGGGGGGTGCACCGTTCCCTCGGGGGGTCACCGTTCCCTCGGAGGAGGGGGGACTCTGTCTGCCAGTCTGCGCGGTGCTTCTAAGCCTGCAGGTTTGCTTCGTTTCCGCTTCTGTTCGCCGCCGGACCGGCGTGATCTAGTTCCAAAAGTGATGCGCTGCACGACCGCGTTCAGCTTCTCTGCTGAAGAGGACGAGGAGGGGGAGGAAGAGAAGGGAGAGGACGAGCAGGAGGAGAAGGAGGAAAAGGAAGAGGAGGGCGGAGGTGGAGGAAGATGAGGTGGAAGAGGAGGGGGGACTCTGTCTCTGAGTCTCTGTGGTGCTTTTAAGCCGGCAGGGTTGCCACGCTTGTTCGCTTGTGATCGCCGCCAGACTGGCGCGATCTTCGAGAAGACGAACAGGAGAGGTGATGGATCCAACTCTCCATGCCCGCTGTGCTTGTCAGCCTGCACTATTGGAAGACTACTTCCAAAGGTAATGATCTGCTCGGCCGCGTTGGCACGGTGCCTGCGAGTGTCTGCGATGCTTCTTAGCTTGCAGCTTTTGCCCGTTTTCTCGCTCCGTACGCTGCACTCATTTGTGCTCCTCGTGCGTGTCCGAAAAAACACTTCGAAAGAACGCAGCAATCAAACGCAGCATTCATTGATACATAAGCTCTACTTTAAACAATCATGGTCATCATCACATCATCCACTTCAAACGCTTCCGTGAGCACGCAGTGAACGTAGATACCAGAGTCTCATTTGAAACTGCATTCGTTGATACCGAGTGCTTGTTTAAACTCACATCCGTCGATTGCAGTCTACAATGAGAGTCCGAGTTGAATATTAATGAAATCGCCATCTGGATCTAAACGATGGTGCACACATATATGCTTTTACACATCGCTGTTAGGTTGCTTTGCTGGGATAATACACTGAACGCGGTTTGGGTCGCGGGTGGGTCGCAGGTTCTCCACCTGGAACGAATGCAAAAGAAGCCCGCCGCAGGCGCCGAAAATTTTGGGTGGGTCGCGGGGTGGGTCGCGGGTGGTCGCGGGGGGTCGCGGTGGGTCGCGGGTGGGTCGCGAGTGGGTCGCGGGTGGGTGGGTCGCGGGGTGGGTCGCGGGTGGGTCGCGGGTCGCGGGGGTCGCCGGTGGGTCGCGGGTGGGTCGCCGGGGGGGTCTCGGGGTGGGTCGCGGGCGGGTCGCGGGCGGGTCGCGGGGCGGGTCGCGGGTGGGTCGCGGGTGGGTCGCGGGGTGGGTCGCGGGTGGGTCGCGGGGTGGGTCGCGGGTGGGTCGCGGGTGGGTCGCGGGATGGGTCGCGGGTGGGTCGCGGGGCAGGTCGCAAGTGGACGACGACAACAACAAACAACAAACAACAAACAACAAAAACAACAAAAACAACAAAAACAACAAACAACAAACAACAAACAACAAACAACAACCACAACAATAACAACAACAACAACAACAACAACAACAACAACAACAACAACAACAACAACAACAACAACAACAACAACAACAACAACAACAACAACAACAACAACAACAACAACAACAACAACAACAACAACAACAACAACAACAACAACAACAACAACAAAAAAACAACAACAACGACAACGACGACGACGACGACGACGACGACAACAACAACAAGAAGAACCCGCATCGCGGAATTCCACACAGTGAATGACCGTTCGGTTCAGCCCCCTTACTCTGATGAGTGAAGTCACCCACCCCCTCTCTGAGGGACAGCGTTAGGAGGGGGACTGGCATAGGAGGGGAAGCATCGACCTGGAATCGGCGCTTGCATCGCCGAGAAATGGGCGATAGACCCCCGATGGCGAAGCCGCACGTTCCTGGGCGGGGTGGGCTGTCGGGCCCCTATCGGTGTTCCATGGGCGACTGTGGGGTCGACGCGTCCACCCCTGAGACTATCACCCCTATCTGAAGGGGCCCCAGGACACACAAATAAATACACACAAATAAAGAGATTCCCCATATTTTTCCTATATTTTCTGGGCTTCTGTCTTCCCCCCCACTTCCCATAGTTTCCCATATTTTCTGGGGGGCGCCGATTAATTGTGTCTGTGTGTTTTTTCCCCTCCTGACCCTGAGCCTATCCCCCCTATCGTTGCCCCTGACTCTCCCTCGTGCTCCGTCGGCTGACGTGCTCGCCTGGAGTGGCTGCGGCCCCTCGCACACTGCTCTCCCAAGTAACGCGATCGTAGTCGTGATCGCGGCCGCCGCCGCCGCCGACGTCCCAGCCGCCGCTGCCGCCACCGCCGCCGCCACAACCCTCGCAGCCGCGATCGCCACCGCCGCCATCGCCGCCGAGATCCGCAGCCGTTGCCGCCACCGCCAGCATCGTGGCGACCGCCGCCGCCGCTGTCGCGATCTGCCGCCGCCGACGTCGCGGCCAGGTCCACCAGCGACCGATCCTGATATGGCAGATTGGAGAGCAGGTTGTAGCAAACGGCGGTGTCTGGGAAGCTTCCGTTCGGGCCCGTCGACCTCGCCAGAAGATTACCGGCGGGGGGGAGGAGAAGGAGGAGGAAAGGAGGAGGAGGAGGACCAGAAGAAGCCAAGGATGCATCAACGATGCTGCACGACACTCTATCGTCCCAAGCCCCCTCCCAAAAGCCCCCCACAAGCCTTCCTTTACACACCACAAGGAAGCGAACCGCTGCAGCACGAGCGCCCTGCGTCCTGCCGCTCAGGCGAGAGAGCCCCGCTGTGGAAAGGAACTGCACTGCATCCTTCCCACGAAGTATACTGGACGCCAAAACAAAATCATCGGACGATTGGGCGATGTGTCCAGCCAAGGGCCCCGTTTTGAAGAGGAGCCACGCCCCCCATACATGAAAACTGCTGCACACCTTTTACACCACTGGGCGCGAACTCTGCAAGACGCCTACGGCTAGAAGCCGATGTCGACAAGAAACTGCAATCTCCATCAGCCTGTGCAGCTTCTACATCTGTTCAACCTCCTGGCCGTGGAACGTCGAGGAAGCCTCTTGTGAACGCCGCTTGTTGAACGTGAGTCGCCCAGCGCCCGTGCCTGTGACTGCTGCGATCGCCCAAGACGCAAATGTGCGCGGCGCCACGACGAGAAAGTCCCACCTTGAGAGCCCACCGCCCACCGCCCTCCGCCCCAACGCTCACGTCATACGCGCGGCACCGGCCGTGTCTGGGCATGCGCACGGCAGAGGCACAGAGCCGCCACGAGGAAGGCCAACGAGCCTGAATACTGAAACTGCCACATCGTCCTCCTCCTCCTCCTCCTCCTCCTCCTCCTCCTCCTCCTCCTCCTCCTCCTCCTCCTCCTCCTCCTCCCCCCTCCTCCGCCTCTTCTTTTTCGTCTCCTCCTCCTCCTCCTTTCCTCCTGCTCTCCTCCTCTTGCTCCTCCTCCTCCTCCTCCTCCTCCTCCTCCTCCTCCTCCTCCTCCTCCTCCTCCTCTCCTCGTCCTCCTCGTCCTCCTCCTCCTCCCCTCCTCCTCCTCCTCCTCCACCTCCTCCTTCCTCCTCCCACTGACACCAAGGACTTCCTTTTCCTTCCTCATCTTCCTCCTCTTTCCTTCCCCTCCTCCTCCTCCTCCTCCCCTCCTCCTCCTCCTCCTCCTCCTCCCCTCCTCCTCCTCCTCCTCCTCCTCCTCCCCCTCCTCTTCCTCCCTCCTCATCATCATCATCCTTCTCCCCCTAACCCTCCCTCCTCCCCCTCCCTCCTCTCCCCATCCCTCCTCCCCCGCCCTCCTCCCCCTCCTGCCCCCCCTCCTCCTCCTCTTTCCTCTCTCCTCCCATGTGCGCCAAAACGACTGCCTGATACCACTGGGGAACAGTATAGACTCTACATGCGATCGAACACCACACCCTGATTTCTGCAACCGCTCACAGCGAGTGCGAGCGCCGCTCATGCGAGAGCCCCATTTTGAAAACGGCCCCATTTCCACCCCCGCACTTACTGCAAAAGTTCAAACGATTGTGCGCGACCGTAAGACGAGAGCCCCCTTTTTTTTTGCGAGCCCCAAACCCTGCATACCAATAACAGCTGCAGTGGTTATTACGACTGGAAGAAAACAAATCTGGCACCCCCCTGTTCCATCCGTGTAGATATTGCAAGCCTCAAATTTCAAGGCCGTAAGCGGTGAGGAAGTGTCAGGAAAACAATTACGTATAGTGAAAATGGGGTGAAGAGGAGGAAAAGGAGGAAGAGGGGCGGATGAGGAGGAGGAAACGAAGGACGACAACGACGACGACGACGACGACGACGACGACGACGACGACGACGACGACGGAGAGGTAGAAAGAGGAGTAGGGAACTTCGCACAGGAGGAGGAGGACGACGACGAGGATGAGGACGAGGACGACGATCAGGGAAAGCAAGCGAGCGCGAGAGAGCACAGCCATAGAGGGAAGGAAAGGAAGAGAGACGCGAAACAGGGAGGAGCGGGACGAGCACCAGAAAGAGCATGAGAACGAGCAGGACTCTCACCAACCCTTTTTAGGGAGGAAGGAGGTGCAGAGTTTCCTCCTGAAATCTCCTTCCATGTCGGGTGGTGGTTGATCTCTGACCTCTGCTAACAGGCACCCCTTCCCCGACGCGACTGGCAGCCAACCCAGGCCCGTGAGCCCACCACCAGACCCATCCCTTGCAGCGGGGGGGGGGGGGGAAATACACCTTGCACCAAAAATCTAGAGCCTGCTCGGGCGCCCAACGCTCACATCGCAGCTCTCATCAACCAACAGGAAAGCGGAGAGGGCTGGCACATTGCCTGCTGTGCAACGCCAGCATTGCCCCCCCCCTGCCCCACCCCCCCCCCCCCCAGAGAATAGAAAGTGCAAGTGGCACCCGGATCTGGATCATGGGCGGACACATCGCGATCACTTCGCAATGGTCTTTGACAGGGACGGCGGGGGGCCAGCACATTGAGTGCTGCGTGCAATGCCAACACCCCTCCCGCGCCAAGCGCACGTTGCACCAAAATCTGGATCATGCGCAGAAGCTCCGCAATCACGTTGAATTGACACGCGGCAGGGACGGCGGGGGGACTAGCATATTGCATATGTGTGCGAAGCCAATATTCCGCAACCATCATCTCTTTCAATATATATATATATATATATATATATATATATATATTCTAAAACATAAAAATCGAAACCAATTGCCCTAGCCAGCCCAACCAGCCAGCCCAACCAACCAGCCACCCAAACAACTCAACCGGCTCAACCAGCCCAGCCAGCCACCCCGCAACCCCAGCCACCCTGCCACCCCGCCAACCCGCCCACCCCCGCCGCCTGCCCTCCGTCACCGTCGAGTGGGGGGAAGTGTTTCGTACAAGCGGAAACCACAAAAATCACCCTCCCGGGGTCCGGCGGGACAGCGGGGGGAGGGGAAATCGCACCGTACCATGGGGGAGAGGGATTCGCGCCCGAGGTGCCCAAAGACGATTCTGGGCCTCAAATGCGACACTGTCGTCACTTAATTACCTTTCACCGCGCTCCCCTTCTCAACGGAAAGGCTCCCATCCGTGAAACTGTCGTCATTTTTCAGCCCCCGCGAGAGGCTTCTTAGAGGCCCCCAGAGGCTCCAGGAGGGCCCATGGCGGCCTCGGGAGTGCCTAGGAGATCTCCAGAGGGCCCCAAGAGGACCCACTCTGCACCGCGCCCCCCTTCTCAACGGAAAGGCCCCCATGCGTGAAATTGTTTTCATCATTCCGCCCCCGCGAGAGTTCATAGAGGGCCCACGGAGGCTCCAAGAGGGCCCATGGCGGCCCCGGGAGAGCCCACGAGATCTCAAGAGCCCCCCGGAGGACCCACTTTGAATTACACTCAGGGAGCTCCAGAGGGCCCAGGAGGCTCCAAGAGGCCCCAAGAGGCCCCGAAGAGCCCAAACAGGCCACAGGACCCCCAGCACGCTCTAGAGAGCCAAGGCGACACCAAGAGGCTCCAGGACGGGCGTCATTCCCTCTCTTCCTCCTGCTCGTCGTCGTCATCCGCCTCCTCATCCGTCCTGCTTCAAATCCTTCCTCCCCCTCTTCCTCCTCCTTCTCCTCCTCTTTCTCCTCCTCCTCCTCCGCCTCCTCCTCTTCCTCCTCCTCCTCCTCCTCCTCCTCCTCCTCCTCCTCCTCCTCCTCCTCCTCCTCCTCCTCCTCCTCCTCCTCCTCCTACCTGATCCGTAGCCTCGATGACTCCGATAGCGCCGTGCGCGAGATCCGCCTCCTCCCCATCCGTCATCCTCCCTCATCCCTCCTCCTTCCCTCCTCCATCCTCCCTCCTCCCCTCTATCGGGAGCGTCACAACGAGGCCCTCCGAAGAGATTTTCACGACAACAAGGGCGCCGACACGATGAACAGACACCACGTCGGGGCTCTGGTAACGGAGTCGAAGACGAAACCTCGAATAACTTAGTCTTCGATGTTTGGGGTATTTTTCTGACCACCTGCGAGCCTTGTGGAATTTTCCGAGGGTTTCAGGGGTGGACGTCTGGCGCAAGAACCCGAGTGGAGGAGGAGACAACACGACGCTCCACGGAGTAAACTGCACCCAATTGGTTTCTACCCCCCGTGAGGGGCATTACAGGGTGTGTATATATATATATGTGTATATATATATATATATATATATGTGTGTGTGCAGGAAAAAAGAAGTGACCTCGCACGGGCCCCTGGCGGGCCCCAGGCACGAGCGGCGCGCGCCAGGGAGGGGGTGGAAGAGGAGGAGGAGGAGGAGGAGGAGGAGGAGGAGGAGCGAGGAGCGAGGAGGAGGAGAGAGGACGGAGGAGGGAGAGGGTGGGGAGGAGGAGGAGGAGGAGTAGGAGGAGGAGGAGGAGGATGGAGGCAGCAGGAGGTGGAGGAGGAATTGGGGGGGGACGGCGAGTGCACGCGGGGGCGGAGCGGACAGGCGAGGGGGGGGCGGGTGGGGGGCCGCGCTCGCGCGGGAACGGAATGGCACGGGACGATTGCACTCCTGAGCATCGGCTGAACAGCGCGCGGGGGCGGGGAGCGGGCCAAGGGAGGACGGAGGAGGAGAAGGGGAGGGGGGGGGGCGAGGAAATGAGAAAGAGGGGGATCCTCCTCGTGTTCCTCCTCCTCCTCCTCCTCCTTCACCACCTCGCCCCTCGTGCCATGCACAAAATCACGACGGGCTGTTTTTTCACTATCCTCGGCCCCTGGGGGCCCTCGCCGGGCCCCAAGACCGTCAAAAACGGCTCGGAATGAAGAGCCGGCCCCAGGGGATGGATCGTCGGGGGTTCCTGCTCGGCGAGGGGGTGCATTTTTTCCTCACCTCGAGGGCGGGCAAGCACGCCCGTGCCACGCTCTGAATTCAGAGGCCCAGGAAAACTGGCCAGGGAGCAAGCCGCCCCACAGGGAAGCCAAACCAGCCCACCCGACGAGGAGGAGCGTCACCTTCGCGCCTGCCGCCCGCCTCGCGCCACCTGCCCGCTGGGGTCCCAGCCCCTGCTCCAGGCCCCATCGGGCGGCAGCCCCAGCTTGGCGGCCAGGATCTGGACTGCCTCCTTGGGGCATACCCTCGCGACGCGCCGCAACCACAAAGTCGGTGAACCGCTTCACGACTTCCTCCGACGGCTGCTCCGAGGCAGCCTTAGCTCCGCCTGCCGCCGCCGCCGCTGCCGCCGGGGCCGCCGAGCAGAGGCAGGCTCCGCTGAGGCCGCCCTTCCACGAGGCTCTCCAGCGAGGGGAGCATCAGCACCGCGCGCGCCGAGGGCACCGCACCCAGGCAGCAAGGCTGCCGCAGGCACAAGGGCCACATCACGCCGCAGGTCATCAGCCCACTCGTCGTCGAACTCGTCCTCGTCCATGGCGTCCGCCGCAGCAGTCGCCCGCTTCGCCTCCGCCAGTCGTGAACCCAAGGTCTGGAAGCCAATGGAACTCGATTCGGGGATTGGCGATGGATATCACTGCCGCTCTCTTCAAACAAAGAATCCCCCTTGGTCTGAAACCTGCTGGGCACATTCCTTCACCAACCCCCCCACCGCAGTGAAGCGCCGGGCGACCTGCCAGGAAATACCAGACGGCTGGTTCCAAAAACCCTGAGCCAAAAATGTTGCGTCTCTTGCGGGCGCATGTCTTAGATGGAGCCGCCCAGGCTTCCGCCGCCCTTCCGCCGAGAAAGAGATGGCAACTCCTGCGATCCTCGAAGACGGGGCCCCTTCTGGAACGCCTCATATGCAAGGACCCTCAGGGAAGAGGAGGAGGAGGCAGGGAGGAGGAGGAGGAAGAGGAGGAGGAGGAGGAGGAGGAGGAGGAGGAGGAGAGAGGAGGAGGAGGAAAGAGGAGGAGGAGGCGGCAGGGGGGGAGGAGGAGGAGGAGGAGGAGGAGAGGAGGAGGAGGAGGAGTGAGGAGGAGGAGGAGGAGAGGAGGAGGAGGTGGAGGAGTGAGGGGGAGGGGGAGGGGGAGGAGGTGGAGGGGACGGGAGTGAGGTGGAGGAGAGGAGGAGGAGGAGAGGAGAGGAGGAAGGGAGGAGGAGGAGGGAGGAGGCCGGGAGGAGGAGGAGGAGGCAGGAGGAGGAGGAGGAGGAGGAGGAGGGAGGAGGAGGAGGAGAGGAGGTTGGAGGAGGAGGAAGGGAGTAGGAGTGGACGGAGGAGGAGGAGGAGGAGGAGGAGGAGGAAGGGGAGGGAGTGAGGAGGAGGAGGAGGAGGAGGCGGAGGAGGAGGAGGAGGAGGAGGAAGGGAGGCGCAGGAGGAGGAGGAGGAGAGGAGGAGAGGAGGAGGAGGAGGAAGGGAGTAGGAGGAGGAGGAGGAGGAGGAGGTGGAGGAGGAGGAGGAGGAAGGGAGGAGCTAGGAGGAGGAGGAGGAGGAGGAGGTGGAGGAGGAGGAGGGGGTGATATGGAGGAGGGTAGGACTGGGGTAGGGCCGGCCCGCCCCGCCTCTTCTTCTGCGCCAGCGTCGGCCCGCCGCCCAGCCGCATGGGGTCCTCTGGGGGGCGGCAGGCCCCTCGAGCCCAGGGAGGAACAGAGATCGAGGAGGGCGAGAAGGATCCAGCATCGAGGGTCGTTATCAGGGAACAAAAAATAACATAAGCATAAAGACTCGGAGGTCCGCGCGGATTTCTCGGATCGGCGCTGGACCCCCCTCCCTGGCGCGCGGAGCGCGCCAGGGACGGCGCCGGAGGCGCCGCCGGGGGGCCCCAGCGCCGATCCGAGAAATGCGCGCGGACCTCCGCCGCGCTCCTCGCCGCCGCCGCAGGCCGCGGTGGCCGCGGCGACGGCCCCTGGGGGCGCCGCACTGGCGGCTCTTCCCCCCCTCACCACCTCCTCCTCGCGCGACCTGGCACCAGCCAGGCCGCCTCCGTCGCCACATCTGCCCTGTGCTCCGCCTGGTCGGCGCTCGGGTGAGCTCCTCCTCCGCCGTGGGGATGGTGAGGGTGGCGAGCTGGGGCGGACCGCGGGGGCGCGGGGGGGGGCCGTCCCCCCCCCTTGCCCCTCGCCATCCCCCCTGGCGGGCGCGGGCAGCACTCGTCCTGCCCCCCCGCCCTTCGAGCCCGCCTCGAAGCTTGATCCTTGCCTCGCCAGGGCGCCCTTGTCGCAGAGGTCGCCGCGCCCAACGGTGGCGGCCGCCGCCGCCGCCGCCTCCGCCGCGCTCCTCGCCGCCGGCACAGGCCACGGGGGCCACAGCGACGGCCCCTGAGGGCGCCGCACACCCCAGAGCTCCGCACACACACCCGCTCCGCTCGGCCCCTCCCGCGCCCTCCTCCCGCCGCCTCCCGCCCCCTGAGGGGCAACGATAGGGGGGGGACTGGCATAGGGGGGGATGCATCGACCTGGAAGCGGCGATACAGGCGACAGGCCTCCGATAGCGAATCCGAACCTTCCTGGGCAGAGTCGGGCCATCGGGCCCCTGGCGGCGATCAATGGGCGATTGCGTGTCGATGCGTCCCCCCCTATGCCCTCCCCCTGTCGTTGCCACGGACCCTCCCTCTGCTCGCCGTCGCTCGGGCGTCCATGCCGTGTGGGTCGGCCAGGGCCCCGCCGCCAAGCCATGCCCGGCCGGTCGCCAACAGCTGGCCATAGCCCAGACCCCGCTCAGCGGAGGGCCGGGGAAGGGGGGCACTGGCCCTACGTGGCTCCCGAGCATGTGGCACAACGCCGATATTGGTGTTGGTGTCAACCTCTAGGCCTCCGAGGATGGGCCAGCCCCAGACCCCCTCGAGATATGTAAAACAAATCCAAACGGGAATGGTGTTTCTCTCCATTTCCGGCCTCTGGGGGCCCTCACTGGCCCTTGGGATCGTGAACTAACCGACTCGGGATGACCGGTCTCGGGAAATGAGGTCGGGACCTGTGGGGGTCGACGTCATGCAAAAACCATGACGTCGGGCGTCTGGGGCCAGAGGGGGGGGGCTGACCCCCGTCAGTGAGCGCTCACCCCCGTTGCGTGAGCCCTGGCGGTCTTCGGGTCGTGGCCCGGCTCTCCAGCAACCTTATTCGGGACGCTCCGGGCACCCCCAGAACGTCCAAAAGGCGAGGCGCAGCTGCCGGAAGGCACCCGGAGGCTGGAGAGCCGACGAGAACCGACGAAACCGTCGGAAAACCCCAAACCCCGGACCTCGGGGGTGGCTAGCAGTGCCCCTGGCCCAAGGTACCCCCAGCTCGTCGCTCAATTCTGGGGCCCCCCGGAGGAGGAGGAGGAGGAGGAGGAGGAGGAGGAGGAGGAGGAGGAG